GTAGAGTGCTTGCCTAGCATGTGTGAGGCCCTGAGTTCAATCCCCAACACTGCAGGGAGGGAGGAGTGGACTGCATTTAAACTATAAGGGTCCAGGTGACAGAAAAAGATGTCATTGCTCTCTTTCTCCTCTTCCTACACGGTCAATGGACTCCTCCCCATGAGATGAGCAAGAGTTAGGCATTGCAAGGGGGCACTGGAAGCCAGGCATGGTGGTACACGCCTGTAATCCTAGTACTCAGGAAGCTGTGACAGGAGAACTGCCACAAGTTCAAGGCTAGCCTAAACTACATAGTAAGAGCCTGTCTCAAAAAGCCAAAACAAAAACAGAAAGGATGGTACTGGGAATGTGGGCAGATCTTTACTCTTCATGAATATTAAAGTTACATTTACACAGCAATGGAAAGAATTCTGCACTGCATTTTTGACTATTCTTGGGAACAGAGAGCAAGGAATAGACACAATGCCTCTGGTCCATGACAATGAAGTAGCTTTGCCTGATGAATGAGCCTGGGCTTTGAATTCAGGCCTGAGGTTGAGGTCAGATGTTGTCACTTATCAGCCATGCAAAAGTGGGCACATTATTACCTTCTCCAGGCTCTAGTCTGCTATCTGGAAAATATAGAACTTTTCTCCTAGTACAAAGACTGAATACAGATAACCTAGATGATTATACACAGTACTGCCTTCCAGCGAACTCTGATGAATCAATAGCTATAATTATCTTCTTTCATAGTCTTCATGCTCCATAACCCCTTCCTGGGAATGACCTCTGTTCTGAACAGCTTCACATTTCAAGTAGTGTGAATATTCATTTATTTTTAAAATATATTTCATTTTTAACTGACACATGATAACAGTGTATATTTATGGGGTACGTTGGACAGTGCATGGATACAATGTATGATGGTCAAAGTAAGTGACATTTACCACCTCAGACATACATAATCTCATAAAAATCTTCTCTAACAGCCATCTCATAATGTTCAATTAACTGTTGTCAACCAAAGGTATCTTATTCTAACGCTGTTGGAAACTAGTACATATTCCTTTTCTCCAGCTACACCCCTGTACCCACTAGCCATCTTCTCTACCTCTCCTCTTATACTCTTCCCAGGCTCTGCTAACCACCATTCTTTGAAATAAAATTTCTTAGCTTCTACACTTACGTGAGAATATCTAGTTAAATATTTTGTCTTTTCTTTTTGAACCCCTAGGCTCCAGTGATCCTCTTGCCTCAGCCTCCAGAGTAGCTGAGACCATAGGTACATGCCATTTTGCCCAGTAAAATACTTTTTTTTAACTTTTATTTGCATTTACTTTATGCTTAATTTATTCCCAGGCCATAAGTTCTTGTGTCTTCAGTTTCTTCTGGGATAGCTTATTCTTCTGTGCAACTTCCTCCTCTGGCTCAGGAACAATTTGCTCCTTTTCAGTAAGGATTATCTCGTGTGGCAGGGGAGCTTGTGTATGGGTGAATCCAGCCATGAGCTCTGTGGTATGGTGGCACATCTTGGGTGCTTAGTTCACCTGGATATATTCAATGACCAGAGAATTTATGTTGAAATCCTCAAGTTCAGCGTTACTCTCTGCATTTTTAAGCATGTATAGCAAAACTTCAGCACTGTTTTTGGGCCACTGACCCTATATCCAGCCTCAGTGTTCGGCCTGGGCACAGCTACCAACTCCACCATTGTAACGCCAGAATGGCACACATCGCTTCTTTAAAGTGACATTCTTTAAAGGCTATGCACACCATTGATGGCCTGGGCAGTTCACAAATGTGCTTAAAGTAAACACAAAGATTTGAGCCCCTTGATTTGCACGATTTTGTGGAGTTTTCTGGGTCAAGAGAGAAGCAAACCATTTTCACAGGTCACCTCAGACTGCCTACTTAGGAAGAGTCAAATACCTATTTCTTGGGGCTGGGGGTTTAGCTCAGCGGCAAAAGCACCTGCCTGGCACGCGCAAGGTCGTGAGTTCGGTTCCCGGTACTGGAGAAAAACCAAAAAAAAAAAAAAAAATACCTATTTCTTATTGGCCACTTTGAGGTCAGCCTTTCGAAAGGGGCTTCCTGTGCAATTGCTTTATGAGTCATAAACTAAAGAAAATGGAATGTGTGGTGTAACATGCAAGGAGGTAGATGGATAACCAGTTTATGCAAGGATTCAATCTCTTATATTCATTAAGAGCACGTAGTCATGTGTGCTGTGTGTAACAGGGAACACTGGAAACAATATTAGAAATTGAACTATTAGAAATATTTCTAATATTCAATATTATGAATCTTTCCAAAAAAACATCTCCAGGGCTGGGAGTGTAGCTCAGTGGTAGAGTGCTTGCCTAGCATGAACAAGGCCCTGAGTTCAATTCCCAGTACCACACATACACACACACACACACACATACACACACACACACAAATCTGCCAAAGGAATTAGCTGACATGGATAAGTGCTTATGATCTATCCAGAAGTGAAAAAGCCCAAAGGCAACCATGTCCTATGTCCCAGCACCCTCAAGACATACTGAAGTGGACAAGAACCACCATGTAATCAAGAACGTGCAGTCACTGCTGGGCATGGTGGTGCACACCTGCAATCCCAGCTACTTGGGAGGCTGAGAAAAGAAGATTGAAAATTTGAGGCTAGCCTGGACGACTTAGTGAGGCCCTCTACCTCTTTCTCAAAATAATTCTTAAAGGGCTGGGAGTGTAGGTTAGTGGCAGAGCACTTCCCTGGGTTCAACTCCCAGTACCGCAGAGAAAAAATGAAAGCAAGAGAGGAAGGAAGGAAAAAGAGTTCAGTCAGAACTATGAATAATTCCAAAATTGATTAATTAGATATATCACATGCAGCAGGAGGACAGTCTCACACAGAACATTATATAACAATAAAAACTAGCAAAAATCATAACACTATAAAACAATATGATGAATCTTAAAAGAATATTGTGAATGGAAAAAAAGACAGCTCAGAAGAATACGTATGGCACAAAAGGTCAAAATGAGGAAAACTCAACTATACTAAGGTGATAACTATATGCAAAAGCAAGGACTTGCTTACCATGGAAGCAGCCCCCTGAATAATGGGGGGAGGTTGTGAGTGAAGGGGTGTGGGAAGGGTTTGGTTGTGAGTTTTTGTTTTTGTTTTTATTTAAGCAGTAGTTCCTTTATTTACATTGTATTTTCTTATTGTGTTATAAAGACAGAATCTTGTTAAATTTCCCAGGCTGAGTTTGAACTTGAAACCCTACTACCTTAGCCTCCCAGAGTGCTGGGATTACAGGTGTGTGCCACTACACCCAAGTAAATTGTACCTTTATGCCTTAATTGTATTTCATAATTTAAACTATCTTAAAGCAAATCCAAATGGAAAACAAGTACAGAACTGTTTTCAGTGTGACTTCAAATTATATAGAGTTCTACATGCATGGGGAGCTGGGGATATAACTCAGCGGCATAAGCACCTGCCTGGCAAGCACAAGGTCCTAAGTTTGATTCCTGGTACAAAAAAAAGGAAAAAACAAAGATACATGCATGAGGAAACTGATCAATAGTGATATTCTCTGGGCAGTAACATGTACAGGGATTTATACTTCTTTGGTTGTATATATTTTATCTTTCCAATTTTTTATATCTAACAGATATGACTTTTAAAATAAGAATAGAAGCAAAGGGCCGGGGATATAGTTCAGCAGCACAGCACCTGCCTGGCAAATGTGAGGTCATGAGTTTGATTCCCGGTATCAAAAAAAAAAAAAAAAGAATAGAAGCAGAACTACCAGCTGCCTATTTCTGGATCTTCAATTTACATCTCTACAAAACAGAGTTGCTTGGAGGAAAAGAAATTTCTCTGTGCCAGAAAGAACCAGGAAGGAAGGAAGACACACACAATTGAAATCAATAGTGGGCAACCGCCACAGGTTCTTGTCATTTGTGCAATGATAAGGCCCTAGGGCAACCAGCCAGCTCCTTCCCCAGAAGGTCCCAGAAATCACCCAGTGCCTGCCTGCTCTCTCTTCCGAAGCCTGGGAAAGGTGTCAACAGCAGAGTAAGAAAAAGAGGTATGATTATTGAACAATAACTATCACTTTTAAATTCTTTTTGTCATAATATTGTGTTAAGGGTTTTGTGTGCATGAATCCTAAAGTTCATAACAGTACTATAAGGTAGATATTGTCAGATGGACAAATGCTTATAGTCTCAGGATTCTGGGAGGCTGAGGCAGGAGAACCAAAAGTTCAAGCCCAGCCTGGCAACTTAGCCAGAGCCTGTCTCAAATTTTAATTTCTTTTTTTAAAGCTGGGGATATAAATTAGTGCAAAAGCCCTGAGTTAAGTCAATCCCCAGAACTGAAAAACAAAAGATATTTTTCACCCTTGTTTTACATTAATAATAATCTAGCACTCAGTGAAGTAGAATGACTCACCCAGATGTATGACGTGAAAGTCTCTGGCTTCTATACTCCATCACAATTTACAGTTACACACGTGCATCTGTTGTTTTAGTCTCATGACAACCAGGTAGAGTAGCTCAGAGTAGGCATTTTATTTCCCCTAGGGCACACGGCTAGTAAGACATTATCACCTTCAAAGACAACATTTCTTTTTTTCCTTAAGGAAGAAATTTTCCCCTTTACTCCGCCCAAACACCAGTACACATGTCCTCCCAGAACATATTTATTACCTCTTGCATGAAGGGTAATGATGTTAGATATGACACAGAGACTGAGAAATGTTACCTCCCTAGGGCGGGGTGAGTGCGTAAGCAGGTGCAGAGCAGAAACAACTTCCACATTTTTCTCCTCAGAGATAAGAGTACGAGAGGAGAGTAATGTTGAAGATCTTGAGGGGCACGTGAGTGACGTTCCTATCAACCTCATCTGCTGGCTCTCCAGCCGGCTCTTCTTGCACCGGTCCTAAGGGAGTCGACCTTCTAGCTGCCTCAGAGGAGTCAACATTCCATGATCGTCTCCCGGCCAGGTAGGGGAGAGAATGTTTCTTCTTTTGCTTTTCCCGGCCCACCAGGAGTCCAGTCTCCACGCCCCTTGAGTCTCACGGGTGTTAAAGCTGCTAATGTCACAGCTTCCTGGGAACCGGCGCTTTCTCAAGCCTGCACTGCAAGGTGGGTCTTCTCAGCAGAAGGAGAGGGCAGTGAAACAGATGGATACGCAAAATGCGAGGAGGAGGAGGAAGCTGAGGAGGAGTTGGTGAGTCAGAAAGCAGTGCTCAGCCTGGCAGCAGTGAGCCTCTCACAAGCACGGGGAAGCCTAAGCCGTTCACCAGGTAAGGAGAGGATTTCTCTGGGTTTACTTCCCAGGCAGGGCATGCTTCTCCCCTGGGGCTGCTGGACCAGAGTATCAGGTAACATCTGGCAACTAAGCTAGAGTTTCCATGGCTGGCAGGAGGGTGAGTGGTGGAAAGGGGGATGAAGCTGAATCGCCTGAGGAATCTTCAGAGAAAACCCAAGCTGCCTACCCGCAGCTCCCTCGCCTCATCTCTAAAGAGTTCAAAAAGCCTACAGTGGAGGCAGGACTGTTTTCGTGTACATTTTGTGCATGGTTCCTGGTACATCTGATCTGCTTTGAACAGGGCTTTGGAGCTCAAGTTTCTGTACTCCCACAGCCTCTCCCTGCTCTCTGTTGGGAGAGGAGGCAGGAGGTGCAGAGAGCTGCAGGTTTTCTCTGGCTCAGGTCGGGTGCAGCACGATCACAGAAAACTCTCAGACCTGGGACCCCCGAATACCAGGGTTCTGAGCCAGGCAGGGCTATTATAGCCAATGACACCATCAAAGTTCAGCTGATTTATTTTGAAAAAATGGAAAAGCAGCTCATCACTGTCCTAAATGTCTTAATGGATTATTTTCATGACTGCTCCTCAAAGGACTTTGACAATTATAAAATGCCACATGGATATAAAGTATAATTCACCCGGCCAATATATCAGTGAAAGTAGAGGAGACCTATGTTAAGTGGCCTGGGACAAGTCTGGAACGTCTAATTGAAATATTTTTAGATATGTAACATAACAATAGTACTTTGCCAATCTTTCTTCTGGGATCAGTGAAGGTACCTCAGACAAGAGAAAAAGGCTCTACAAGTGTCACTGGTGATGTTGCTTGAGTATGTATTATGTGCTAGGCACTGCACTTGGCAGGGAGACATTGCACTGGTGGGGACCAGTGGTTCAGTCCTTCCGGTGCTCTCAGTCTACTTACAAGTTTATTCTATGGTATCCTTTCCCCCAGAGCTTGGCTACCCAGGTTTCCCAGGTCTCCATGCTATTCGTACTGAGGCCAGTGTCCCTAGCCCATCTCTGTTCTCTCTCAGTTTGTGCAAGGTACCTGCTGGTATCTGTAGTTTCTGGTTGCAGGGGCACACTCTCACTGGGAAATAGGCCTAGTCGCTGGCATCAGGCTTCTTACATTGTTACCTATTTGAGTTTTTTTCTCAGAATTCCCACTCTGTTTGTCAGTACCTATGTGGCACCGATCTTGGGGATACCTATCAATTCAGCCCTCTGGAATGAAGCTGCTGGGTGAGGGCCTGCTGGTCCCTTCATGATCTCTGTACCTTACACAGGTTCTCCCTTTCCACCGCCCCTTTTGGTGGTGTTTTCCAAGACCCTGAAGGTTCTCATGACTCTTCGGCCATCGTGGCTCTGTGTGTTCCAAGGTGGTGCCAATCACCCATCACTGGGGCAACAGGTGTTCAAATTACCTTGGTCTGCTTTTTGCTTTTGCCTTGCCCACCTGGTAACTCAGACAGTTATAACAGGGCACCCTGTCACCGCAATGGGACTTTTATTTTTCACTAATTTTTTCTCTTAAAATAATTTTCACTAGTTTTTTTTTTTCCTCTCAGTTTAAATAACTATATGCTCAGTGTAGAAGTTATTTTTTAGAACGAAGTTAACTGGGCCATACAGCATCAAAGCTATGCCCCTGAGTTTCGTACCTGGCTCTCGGCAACTGAGACAGTGTCGGTTATGTGCTCAATACTCAACAGCCACCTACATTTTAATAACTGATGCTCAACACTTTCCGTGTGCATTTGAATAAGGGAGAAGTTTCAGTTTCTTGAAGGGACACTGTTATAGTTTAGATCAAGAATGTCCCTCAAAATGTTCATGTACTGGGGGGGGGGCTTTTGAAAGGTGATCATTCTGAGAACGTTAATTTCCTCTATGGATTAATCAATTCATTAGTGAGATGATAACTTGGTGGTATTATTGGGAGGTGATGGAAACAACCAGGATGCCTTGGAAATAAGACCTATCTGGAAAATAATCAGCCTTGAAAACTAGAAATCAAAGTGCCAGCTCCAATCACCTGTCCTGGCCTTTCCCGCCGTCACTGTTCTGTAGTTTGGCTACTCTGCAATGCAAAAATGGCAAGCGTAGGCTGATTGGGGCTGGCACTTTTGACATCCAGTTTTCAAAGCTCATTATTTTGTAGATAGGTCTTATTTTCAGGGAAAGAGGGAAGTCGTGGGGCCTAGTGGAAGGAAGTGGGTCCTATGGATATATATGACAGACACATCTGGTGGCTAGCACCTTACTCTCTGGCTCTTTCCCATTCGCTCTGCTTCCTCACTGCTATGGGGTACTCAGCTTATTTTGTATTGTGCTGTTCCACTGTGATGTTTCCGCTTTGCCGCAGGCCTAAATGCAATGGAGTCAGCCAACCATGGACTGCAACCTCTGAAACTGTGAGTCAGACTAAATCTTTCCTCCTCTGAATTGATTTTCTCAGGTGTTTTCTCCCAGTGAGGAAAAGATGACTAACACAAGTTCTTTTGGTTATCTTCTTTCTAGCAATGACTATGCCTCTTCATATACTCAACGGATTACTGACTTCTTCATTTATTTGGCAAGTGTTTAAGGATTCCTAGTCCCTTGTAGAATTGTTGTGCACTTATAAGCAAGATAAAACATTGCCTTTCCTTTGAATTGCAGAGGTTCACTGGGATGAGACATTCATATACAGGTGTTTCCTACAAAGGGAGAAAGACGCTACTGAAATGTTTGGAAGGGAAGGAGATAGAGAGGTGGCCTGGGGGCAGATGCTTGAAGCACCAGTAGCACTTCTGTAAAGTGTCTCAGGGCTCAAGCGCAAGGTCGTGAGTTCGGTTCCTGGTACCGGAAAAAAAAAAAAAAAAAGTGTCTCAGGGCTCCTAAATAACAGGGCACCTTTAGAAGAACTGAAAAATTGAATCTGGAGCCTAAGGTGTGAAAACGGATGGGAGTGGCAGGAAACCAAGGATCAGACCATCAAGGACCCTGCACGTGAGGCTTGGGGGCTCGGTTTAGTCCTGTACGTATTGGAAGGTTACTGAAGGATTTTTAGGCAGAGGAATGGTAGGCTTGTGCTTTAAAAAGGTAGCTTTGGGGCAGTGAATGATGCCGAATGCTGAGAGGCAGACAGGAAGGCACTGTTCCACTGCTGCCGAGAGATGAGCAGATGAGAAATTCTGGCAACAGGAGACAAGCAGAGCAAGGGTGCCACTGAAAAGCTTCCTGTTCACCACTGAGCACACTGTGAACTGCGTCCCCTCACTTCTGGCAGGGCCTGAGGAGCATCTGCCTCTACTGCTGATTACAGTCTGCAGTGTTCCAGGGTGGTCTGGCAGCCTCCCAGCTGCTGTCTATAGCCCAGGGGCCTTGGGTGGAACTTGCTTCACAAAAATATCCTCTTTCTGGCCTGGGAAAGTGCTTGGGAAAAATAAAACCAGAGAAAGAACTCTGCAGGAATTCCTGAGAACTGTGGTCACCTGAAGTCTGAGAATACCTAGGGACGCGGTTAGCAGGCCCACCTACAGCAGGAGGAGGGAATGCGCGTGAGGCCAGCAGCAGCTGACAAGCAAAGGGGGCGCAGTGCCATCAAACCCCATAGGACGCAGAGTCGGCCTGAAGCTGAGATGGAGGGAGGGAGGTGTCCTTTGAAAGGCCTGCTTCGCTAATCCCCAGGAAATGTGGTTACTGGCCCTGCTTATCCACTTCTGAGTCTCCTTACAATTGTACACAGGTCAAGTTCTCATTTCCCTCTCCCTTTTGCTCCACTGTTTCTTATCTTTATTCCAAACTCTTTCTGATACTCACGTTGCCTAAGCAGAAGCTCTTATGCTCAAGTCCCGTCTTCCATCTTGGGGGAGTGGGGAGGGCATTGTCAATTACTAATGATGGCCTAGTTTTTAATCATTTTATCTTGGACTCAAGTTTTAAGAACTGGGAGAATATTTTAACTGGTCTTCTACTCCACAGGGCCAAGACTACAAGGTAGAAATTACCATCCTTTGGCATTTCCCTGGCAGATAGTAAAGTGTGTTTTAGCCACAAAGAAAAGATGATCTTCACTAGATGCTTTTGGCACATCCACAGGAAAACCACTGCTATAATGAAGAGATGAAAAGAGGTTTTCCTATCACTGCCACACAAGGCCTGGCTTGGGTCATTATACATTTCCCAGAAGGTTTAGGGGACTTCCACAGGAAGCCCATGAGGCGGCAAAGTGAAAGCTTCTTCAGGAAGCAAGCTATAAACTCCAGGATTCACATCTGAGGCTGCTAAATTCCTCCCGGAAAATCCGTCTTGACTATTTCTGGAGCTATGGCCGAAGAGAATGGGTTGTGACCAGTGTGAAGGCTGTCTGAGTGATAGGTGTCAAATTTACACACGCACACATGCTTTGACTCAGTAATTACACATCTAGGAATTTATCTTATATACACGTGCAGTGATATGTGAACACGGAGGTCATTGCTGAAGCAGGGGAAATGACAAAAGATTAAAAATGACCTAAAACCCTATCAGTGAGGAAAGTGGCTCAATAAATCATTGTGTATATATACAATAGAATCTCTGTGGTAAAAAGGAACAAGGAAACTCTTGGTGTATTTCGTAAAAAGTGCCCCAAGATATATTACAACAGGAAAACTAAGGTGCAGCGGAGTGAAACAACTTACTATTTTTGTGTGTATGTTTTAAAGAGGGACAAGATTAAGAATGCGTATACATTTGAATTATCTTGTGTATACATAAAGCAACCACAACGATACACAAAAAATAAACCCAGTTGCTAGGTAGGGGCAAATTGAGAAATAGGCTGAGAGAAGACAAGTATTAGAGGTAGGCTTTTCATTGTATACTGATAACATACAACAGCTAGTAGGTAAATACTAGCTGTTGTTAGTAAATATAGGTTACCAATTCAGCAACTAGTAAAATTCTTATGTTTTCTTTCCCCAGAAAAAATACTGTGATTCCTTTTATAGATGAGTCATCATTCCTGTTCACAAATAGATCTAGAGGTTTTCTAACTTATGACTACTGGCTTGTCCTGAAGACCTAACTACTTGTCACAAGATCGCTCCTTCCTTGTCATATACGTTAAGCATCTGGGTGTGCAAGCACTCTCCTTCTTTCTTTCCTGCATGTGGAATTTTAGAAAAGCTTCATTCTAAATTCTGAGTCTATATAGACTTGCTACCCATGAGAATGACACTTTTTGAAATAATTTAAGCCATGTACAATTACCTAGTAAAAACTTTTTTAAATTGGTAATTTGTCACCAGGAAAATAGTATGGAAATCTCTCTCTCTATCTTCTCCCCTCCTCTGTACTTGATAGTGAACCCAGAGCTTTCTCATTCAGCTACGCACCTAGCCTTTGAAAAAAAATATTTGAAGCCAGGTGTGGTGGTGCACGCCCATAATCCCAGCACTCAGGAGGCTGAGGTGGAAGGATCACCACCAGTTACATAGTGAGACTCTGTCTCAAAAAAATAAAAAATAAAAAAAAATAAAAAATATTTGACTTTTAGACAGCATGTCACTAAGATCTCTCTAAGTTGCTAAGTTACCCACCCTGAACTCAAGCTTGGGATAGCTACCTGCTTCAGGGTCCCACTGTGCTGAGATTACAGGCATGCACCTCCCTTCCCAGCATTCTTTCTCTTCATTATTAAAGCTAGAAGGGAGAATTTCTTGGGTCATAGTGAAATGCAAATTAACACCTTACTGCTATGGATAGTTACACTGCATGCCATAGCTAGTGCATTTATGTCAGGAATCATCCAAAATAATCTAGCATCATGTAAAAAACAAGGTTCAAATTTCCCTAGAACTAATCCTCTAGCACAGAACAAGGAACAATGGCCTTCTCAGAAGAAGCAACCCCTGGCTGTAAAATGAGTTAAGCTGAGGGTTGTCATCAGTCTGTGTGGGCCTTCACGTAAATTACAAAATGAAAACCACTTTTCTTTATTTGACATCTAACAATAGGAAAACCATCCTAATATGCTTTTCTGATTGGCCCAAGACACTTCGCTATCATCCTCAGAGGTTTTGGGGGTTTTCTGTTTTTGTTTTTATTTTGTTTTTGAAATAGAGTTTTGCTATGTAGTTTAGGCTGGCCTTGAACTCATTTTGTAGCCCAGGCTGGTCTCGAACTCACAGTGATCCTCCTGCTTCAACCTTCTGAGTGCTGGGATTACAGGTATGCACCACCTGGCTACAGATTTTTTTTTAAATAATAAATATCTTAATTCTTGATGAGATGGCATTTCCTGGGGTTGGCATGGTACACAACCTGCCCATATATTAAGGAGGCATGAGTAGGTTGTGTCAAGTGGTCACACCTTCTGCAAGCAGCTGCAAGGGGGGGAAAAGTACCCCACGATTACAGTTCTTAGGTTGGCTTGCCACACTTTCACAGTCAGTTGGTAAGGAAGTAATGACTCAGTTTAAAAAAACAGGTTCAGATAATTTATTAACTACACAGATACAAGCTCAGCACTGAACTGGCTCCCCTACATCCTTTGTACCACAGGGTGAGACTAAACCAGAACAGATCGAACAACAGGTGCCGTGGGCACTTGGCTCAGCCATTGAAAAGATAACTCTAAAGCCAAGTAGTTTCATAGCCCGCAGCTCTGCCTTTCAGGAGACTGAAGAGGAAATTCCCATGGTTAAATAAAATGGGAGGTAGAAATGGCCCCAGGGCAATTGGGGAGCAATGAGAAATGGCCTTGGGGTGTTCTTTGATGGGTGGCTCCTCTCCTTTGGCTTCAGGAGGATCACCAGGCCTTTAACCAAGACTTGGGTCACGCTGAGATTGAGCTTTGCCTTCATGACCTCTTTGAAGACATGCACACCACCAGGGTGTCATGGTGAAGTCCTTCCCCTATGTTGATTAGGTGTGCTGGTAGTCCTGCAGCCAAAAAAGGTCAAGAGGGAGGAATGAAAGACCCTAAAATATATAAATTGTAAGAGATGGGACTTGATCTGGAGATGATTTTGTGCAACTGCTCGCAAGATTGTCCTCACTTTCTGCATTGTTCTTTGCAGAGGCCCGGGAAGGTGGCTTTGGTTAAAAGGAGATGGAAAGCAGACCCCCTCACAGCAGCCTAACCCAGCCCGTTTTGCTTGTTCTTTCAAGGTCTTCCACTTCAGCACAACGATAATGCCAAAAAAGCTGAGGCTGCTCCTGTTCCTGGCTGCCCAGGTAGCCATCTTCGCTCTCTTGTTCCACCTGTATGACAGCTCCCTACCTGGGAAGGAGGAGCCCAGGCCCGTTCACGTGCTCGTCCTGTCTTCCTGGCGCTCTGGCTCTTCCTTTGTAGGGCAGCTTTTCGGACAGCACCCAGATGTCTTCTACCTGATGGAGCCTGCCTGGCACGTGTGGATGTCCTTCACGCAGAGCACTGCCTGGAAGCTGCACATGGCCGTGCGCGATCTGCTGCGCTCTGTCTTTCTGTGTGACATGAGCGTCTTCGACGCGTACTTGAATCCTGGTCCTCGGAAACAATCCATCCTCTTCCACTGGGAACACAGCCGGGCCCTCTGTTCCCCACCTGCCTGCAACATCTTCCCTCGGGACAAGATCACCTACCATGCTCACTGTAAGCTCCTGTGCTATCAGCAGCCCTTCAAGGGGGTGGAGGAGGCCTGCCGCTCCTACAGCCACGTGGTGCTCAAGGAGGTGCGCTTCTTCAACCTGCAGTCCCTCTACCCGCTGCTCATGGACCCCCTGCTCAACCTGCACATCGTGCACCTGGTCCGGGACCCCCGGGCTGTGTTCCGTTCCCGAGAACACACCACAGCGGAACTCATGATTGACAGTCGCATCGTATTGGGGCAGCTTTGGCAAACTCTCAAAGAGGAGGACCGGCCATATCACGCCATGCAGATTATCTGCCAAAGTCAGCTGGAGATGTTCAAGGCTATCCAGTTCTTGCCTGAAGCCCTGCGGCAGCGCTACCTACTGGTGCGCTATGAAGATCTGGTGCGGATGCCCCTGGCCCAGACTTCCCGGATGTATGAGTTTGTGGGGTTGAGATTCTTACCCCATCTCCAGACTTGGGTGCACAACATCACACGGGGCAAGGGTATGGGTCAGCATGCCTTCCATACAAATGCCAGGAATGCCCTCAATGTCTCCCAGGCTTGGCGCTGGTCCTTGCCTTATGAGAAGGTTTCTCGACTTCAGGAAGTCTGTGGTGATTTTATGGATTTGATGGGCTACCTCCATGTCAGATCCCACAAAGAGCAGAACAACCTATCACTGGATCTTCTGTCTAGCTGGAGGCCCTTGGAGCAAGTGTACTAAGAGGGTCAAGGAGGCTCTGTCCCCATCTGGTCCTGGCCTCGGTTCCATTCCCTGCATGCTTCTGAGCCTTAACTGGGTCTCTGTAAATTATGTACATTGCACATGAGTTGTGCCTACATATGCTCAAGCAGAGAAAGCTTTGCGTCTACACTGTGGTCTGAAAAAAGCAACTCAAGAACCTTGTGTGAACAGTATGTTCCACAAGGAAATGTAATGTTGCCTATCTTCTCTTCTTGACTTTCTATCTGTGCATAACTTGGAGACTGTTAGAGTCTGTTAGACACCGTGCAGTATTGGTGGAGTAAACCCATAAAGCTCTCTGTCTACACCTTGCCCAGGGGGAAAGAGGAGAGACAATAAATTAACAGGGAAATGGGTCTTTCACCAAAGATCTCACCAGCACATTCCAAAGACATGAACTCTAAGCCCTCGGATTTTGCAGAAGATTGAAGGAGGGAACTGATGCCTGTCTTTGAGCTTAAGGTCACAGCTATCATTGTCACAAACACAAAGTTTACAACAGGCCAAGCTTTTGAACTCAGGGAGTGGCTGAACTCTATTTGGACATTGTTTCTCCCAGTGTTTTCCAATCACGCACAGACTTTGATCTGTTAAGCTGCCATCCATTATTAATAAGTTTCTGTTTAGAACGTACCCTTGTATGACTTCTAATTACTAATTATCTTATTTTTATGGGACCCTACCCTAAGAACATATCACCTTTATAGATTTTTATATGTTTGCTGTTATCTATCACCCCCTATATATAAAAATTGCTGTAACAGTGTTTGGTGTCAGATGATGGACTAAGTCTATATCCTCTGAGAATTGGGTAGAAAGTGGGCAACCAACAACTAAGTCCTTTTTTGTGTGAGGCCTAAGTTGTAACACTGCCGCATGCATCACCTGAAGACCTGGAGAAATAATTTTTACTCTAATCTCTAAGCCAGAAGACCCCTGTCCTAGGATTTATCTTGTCCTAGTTCCACTATCCACCTCCCCTAATAAGAAGTCATTCCTCCCAGGCTTCACAGATGCCCAGATCTATCTGTGCATCAGAATCACATGCTGCATATGCACATTGCCAGGCCTTGCCGCAATCTGTTGGGGTTGGAATCTCCCAGTGTGAGGCAGGGATTCTGGGTGCTCCTCATACTGCCAGTCTGGAACTGGACACTCTGCACTGGGAACCAGCACCGTTTACTGCTCCAAGTGAGATGACTTTCAGTACATGATATCAGGGATGTAGCTCAGCGCTACAGCACCTGCCTGGCAAGCACGAGGCCCTGAGTTCAATTCCCAGTACTAAAAAAAAACAGGTTATTAATCCTTACATATCAGTGTGTGCCGAGTACATATGCCTGCTGTCACCTTCCACTTCCTCCTCTATTCCTGTCATAACCACTGCCTTCCAGTCATTAAAGATAAAAGAACTTCATAGACCTCTGAGCCTTCTCTCTTCATAAACATCTTGCTTAATATCTAACCGTGGGACATTCTGCCATTTCATCTTTCCTTCTGTTTCCCCCTTGTGGTGTTTCCCGTTTGATAAAATTTCCTGACTCTCAGATCAGAATCATCCTAGCTAGGTTGGGGCTAGGGGTTTAGCTCAGTGGCACAGCACCTGCCCAGCAAGCTCAAGGTCTTGAGTTCAATTCCTGGTACCAAAAGAAAAACAAAACAAACAAACAAATAAACAAAACATCCTAGCTGGGTTGGTTTGAAGTTAATTTATAGTAATTTTATTTTTTTCTTTTAAAGAGAATAAAAACTAATAAAAACATTAGAAATGATGCAGAATTTCAAAAAAACAAGATGATAGGAATTCAACAATGGCTGTGATATTGCATCCTGTTGTCTTCAAAGTAGTTGTTTGGATTACCAGGTGTAAGCATGTAAAATTGGTGCCAAAAAACTAAGCATTAACTGAAGCAAATTTATTCTAATAACTGAACCCAGCCACTCTAGAAATTCCTTGAGAGTAGAGGAACTCCCAGGCAAGTGCCTACCTCTACAAAACTTCCAAAGCAGTGTAACAATAAATTTTTCCTAAGGTTCGACATAAGGTCACAACAGATGATATTGTGAACAGGAGAAGCAGGCCAGAGAGGGAACAGACTATAATAGACTCACCATCTCTGATTTTCCCTTTCACCATCCACTTGCTGCTGAATCATTTTATTTCTTTACGGAAAAAAGATAGAACAAAATTTCATGACAAAATAATAGGATAATGACAATAGTTAATACATTACATGCGGTTATCTTCAAACTAGTTGCTCAGAGTACAAGATCTGGGCATAAAAACTTCTCCAATCAATATTAGCACAAACCTTTTTAATGATCTAAAGACACTAGTAGTATAACTGCCTTGCATTTTTCCCTTTTCCCTACTGTCCTTTCCCCTTTCACCCAACCTAGTTCCTGTTGCTTAATCATTTTAAAGTACAAAGTTGTATGCTAGTCCTCCTAAAGGATCCTGACATCCTGCAACAACAAAAGAGGCCAGCCACACAGAAGGCTCAGGATCTTATTCAAGATCTGCTTTAGCCAGGTGTGGTGGTGCACACCTATAATCCCAGCACTTAGGAGGCTGAGGCAGGAGAATGATGTGTGGGTTCGATGTGTGAGCCTGAACTGCATAGCGAAAGCCTGCCTCAAAAAGACAAAAAAAAAAAAAAGATCCACTTTAGCACAGCTTTACATTTCCTACATTCCAAGTGTTAGATGTCCAGTAAGGCTTGGCATCTAGGAGCCTTATTCTTGAAGAATGGTCTTTCTGTGTTCGCCAATGAAGTAGCTACTAGTAGCTAAACAACTGTTAGTTGTCTAGCTTTAAATTTATTAAAATTGCCAGGAATATAGCTCAGTGGAATCGTGACCACCTGGCAGGCACAATGTCCCAAGTTCAATTCCCGGTACAGAAAAAAAAAAAAATTAAAATTAGAAATTCAGTTCTTCAGTCACATAGCCACATGTCAAGTGCCTAGTTGCCAATTGTGTGAAATGAGAAATATAGATCACTTCAACCACTGCAAAAGTTCTGTTGGACAGCTCTAATCTAAATTCCTCTTTCTTTGGGGGTAGGCTCTCATCCCACACAAAAAAGTTCAAAGACTATACACAGCATAATAATATAGTTGTGGCATTTTTATATAACATAAGACTGTCATATACAATTGTGCCCTACAACCTCTTTTAAAACCTGACCCAGTGTTGAATGAAACTCCAGTGAGTGATGGAACGATCTCTTACTGATATTGTCAGGTGCTGGCCCTGGGATGCAGATGTGAGAGGGACAGCATGCTCAACCGTGGCACGTGGGAGTCTGAGGAACTGAGAACAGGAGATGAGCTTACAGGATGATTGTCTGCTGTACATCCTTTCTAATTTCATTCATTTGTTCTATCCCAAGCCAGAAATCAGGATGCATGTCTCTGCCTCCTTAGTTTGTTTCGCTCCACAAGCCTTAAGAATGAGTATAAGCCAAGATGAAGGATGAATCAGATCTAAATTTCCCAAGGAAATTTTCATGGTTTAAGAAATGAACTCTCTCAATTGTAAATAAAATGTCCTGAAATGGTTCGTTGTAAAGTCATAACCCATGACTATACAAAGACCCAAACTGGGCATCTGTATTAAGCCCTAAAGTTTGTGAGGGTCCCAAATTTTCAAAATAATTTTGTAGGGAGTGAGAAACAAAGGGACTTTTACTGTAATTTAATAGTATTTCTATCTATAATTACTACATACCTTCATTTTTTGTGTAACGAATTCAGTTGTTAAATTTTCAATACATTCAAACAAAATCTATACTCTTTTTCAACTTGTGAATAGTGACTTCATAAGTATCTGGAAAGGCAGAATCTACTGCTGATAACTTTTGCACAAAAATCTGCCCTTGTATTGTCGTGCAATATTTTTAAAAAATAGTTTAGGCTTTATTATATGATTTAACCCACTCCTAAACATTAATTATTCTCACTGACTCTAGATAGTATCATGAAATCTGCTGAATCTACAGACCAACGGAACAAAAATTTCAAAATGGACATGTACAAGTGACATTGGCCAGTTAACAATAAACCTCTAATAGGCATTGGTCAGGGATCCTCAATAACCCGGCCCTTTCGTTGAGGTCTTTACTGCATAAACATCTCTGGTCGTTCAGAGAAAGATCGTTTCAAGCACAATGCTGAGGAAAAGCAGGAACCAATAACCGGAGTCCAGGTATAATATCTACCTAAAGTGTGTCTTCATTCATTCTACACACTTAATGGGCATCTGCCGTATGCCAAGGGGCAATCTGTGTGTTGTGGGTGCAGCAGCAAACACAGCAGGCAAAAGTTCCTCCTTTCATACAAGAGATATTTCTGTCAGTTAGAGCACAAGGGAAGAAACAGTAAACAAAGGCCCGTCAGAGGCTAAGTACTCTGAAGAAGATTAAAGCAGGGGAAGGGGCTAAGGAGTGAAGAAGTGTGGCATTCTACAGATGTGAAAGAGACATCTTCACTGGGGAGGGACGCTTGAGCAGCGGGCCTCTTGAAGCAGAAAGGCAAGTCACATGGAGATCTGGTGGCAGAGTGCCCCAGTGAACACCAATGTCCATAGGGACTATGCAAGTTTAATGAGAAGCTGCTCTGTGCGCAGTACTCTACTGGTCTTGCGAAGGATAATGAAGTACAGACATTATAGGAAGGACCATAGGACAGAGAAGTCATGCTATTATGAGCCCTTGGACACTGTAATTGTGCTGCCTGGATGACTCCGCCATGAGCTGGATAACCTCAGGCAGGTTCCTCAACATCTCCTTGGTGCAGGTCCTCAAATGCAGGGTGGGTAGAATAATATCAGCACTGCTTCCTCGGAGTCGCTAGGGAGACTAAAACATTCAGGTGTGGACGGTCTTTCGCCAGCACTCACCAAGTGCTGGCTGTGAGTATCACGAAAACAATGCTGTCTCTTACCATTGCTGACAACGCTGTGCATTTGTTGAGTCCGTATTTAAAATAAGATCTCAAATTCTTTATGACATTTCTGATCAGACTGATATGATAAAAATAAATTGATACAATACTTTCCAATCCTCTGGATTCTCTATATTATTGACTTTCCGCCAGAAGCAATTATGCCCTCCCATGGGGTATCTGGAAATGTCTGGAGATTTCTTTTTACTATCTTATTTTTAATAGGTATGTAATATAATTGTACATATTTTATCTGTACACATTTGTATTGTCACAAAAGGGATGAGCTGCTGCTGGCTTCTGGTTGGTAGGGGCCTGGGATACTGCTAAAAGTCCTTGCAATATACAGAACAGTTTCCTACAGTAAAAAATTATATAATTCAACATAATAGCGCAAAGCTTAACAGACCATGTTTTACGTTGTCCAGGGATAAAGACAAAGAGCTGAAGACTCAGGTAGATTTCTGTTAGCCAGCATTACCACTGCTGACATTGTAACTTCTTTGGAAGGAATTCTTTGGCTCATGGCTTCAGAGATTGAAGTTTATGTTCTCCTAGTTGCAAGGCAGAAAGGACATGGCAGAAGGACACCATGGAGGGAAGTTGCCCAACCATGGCAGCCAGGAAGCAGAGAGAGAGAGAGAGAGAGAGAGAAGCCAGGCAGAGAGAGAGACACACACACCCAGGGACCCACCCGCCTCCTAACCACACACTCAGCTAATGAACTCATCAATGGGTTGGATTAATCCACAGAAGGGTAGAGCACCCCTATGAGTGAGACACCTTCCAAACCCCAGCTTTTAGGGCACACTTGTGACCCAAACCATAACAT